CATGCATCAAGATATAATTACCAAAGTTAGATTTCTTGATTTCAAAGCAATGAGAGGGAAACATGCAAGGGGTGGGGCGTGCCACCCATATGTGGAACATATGGGCCCCACCCACTTGTCACATGGTGGGCCCATGTGCACTTTAGGTCCCCCATGAGATTTTACAAATAATTTTAAAACCTTATTTGAATTTTATACTTTTGTAAAATCAATTATTTCATTTTTATAAGTCAAAAAATCATAAATAAAATATTAAAAGATTCATAAAAAGTCAAATAATAAATCTAAAATAATTTCTATAATAAAATGAACATAATTAAATTAATTTGATGGGAAATGGATCCATATGGTTTAAGAATTCAATCTGTGGACTACAAACCACACTTGCTTTATCGAACCGACCTAGTGTTTCCCATGATCCACAGTCTAAGCAGAGGCTAATTAGCGGGTCACCAAAGTCTGGTCGATGAGCCAAAGGGTTGCAATCCCAGTCTATGGATTACAGGTCCTCCCTAGAGACAAGTCAAGGTCACCACGACCTGATGCGACCACAACTCTATGGTGCATAGGGGTATCTCTCGCACATGCATACGCTTCACCCAAAGGTGGATATCTGACTTTTCCGAACGATCTATCGATATGCATGCCGTGTGATGGATCATAGATGAAGTTTTGGCCCCCGTCTTTGTAGGCCTACCATCACACACAAGGGTCATACAGTCCAGTCCCTCGGCTCACTCATCCAAGCATTAGCTCTGATCTCATCAAGGGATAACCCATAACCCTACTTGGTTTATTCTCTATGCCTAAGTACCTTTGATTTTCTGACCGACTGGCCTAGATCATTGAGCACAGTCCGGTATCAGCAAACATCATTTGTTTAGTATGGTGTCCGATGGGCCACACTCTCACTGAGTTTATGTTCTACTATAATAAATGTTTTTCATTACACTCATAAGGCCTTTAAATGTCACGTAAACCCAACAACTTGAAGAGCTTCGGGTTCATCTATTGCTTTGGTGCTCGCTCCCTCATATCATTGAGATTCCATTCAATAAAGCGCATCAAATAAGAGTAATTCTTTTGGATTGGGATTTCTAGCTCATCCTCTTCCTTGCAGTGCTAGGTATACACTTTGCCGGGAACATGCTTGATCTTGGGGCGGCAGAGTTCTTTGAGAGGGTGGATCGCAGCCCTACGATCCCTAGCCCAAGGGAACTCTGGTGTGACATACTCTGAATTCAGCATCCTCAACAGCGTTTGATCCTCTTCGTTATGGGCCGATCGATGCAGCGACACACCTCGGCAACAAGAACTTTGGTGTGGTTCAGGCGATGTACAGGAGTTAGGGGGACGAGAGAGACGTTTGTGGTGGATGTGGGGTTTGAGAGAGAGAAGGCCTATGGGGAGTAAAGGGAGGAGAGAGAGGGACTTAGAGATCCACTTCTCTTGGCTCAAAAGGTGGGGAGTCTTCACTTCTAGGCCTTCTCCTCTCTATGTTTGAGAGCAAAGGAGGTTGGGTGTATAGATATTTCAGGGGGAAGATATATGGTTATTTGAGAGGATCATCATCATCGTTAAATCTTATCCCCGACTAATTGGGGTCGGCTTGGCCATGGGCCAAAATACTTAAAAAAAATAAAATAAAAGAAAACAATGAAAAAATAAGTGTCTAGAAAGTTTCTTTGGCCAAGGGCCAAAGGCCCTAGAAAAAATAAGAAATTATAGGAAAACAAGAAATTATAGGAAAACAATAAAATAAGGGAAATGTTTATATACTTCCACTACAACATAGAAGATCTATGCTTCCCCTGCCATCCAGTTGTCTAATTTTGATCGAGAGATCCACTCACCGTTTGATCTTAGATTCGACGTCTTAAAAGTATTTTATTTTTAGATTTTTTTCATACAATTGTATGAATATGAAATTTGGTACGTGCCATCTTCTCATTGGGGCGCACCTATAAAAAATATTAAAAATAACTTTTTGATAAAATATAATGCCCAAAATACCCCTTGAAAATTTTAAGGGTATTTTGGTCATTTTGTTTTATTGGATTTTTTTATTTTTTATTTTCTAGTGTGAGTTTAATAGAGGATTGGATGTCCAAAATTTTGTGTTAAAATAGTTTATAGAAAAAACATTAAAAATAAAATAAAGTAGAGATGTGACATTGTGATTATAGCCCTCCATTCATAATGGAGGGTTGGATAAGGGGAAGTATATAAGTTTTATGCTCTAGGGGAAGTAAAAAGTAAATTAAAACAAGGGTACGGTTTGTATGAGGCTCTAAACAATGAAAGTAAAGCCTACCTTCAATAGTATTGAGAAATGTGGTTTCAATACTGGAAATATTTATGATAGCCTTAAAATATATTTTCATCTTTAATAATAAAATTTAAAGCTTAAAAATTAGTGTAGATCGAACAGATCTATGAAAACTTGAAAATCTTGAAACTTGACGGTCCAAATTGAATTACAAGATGCTCCATTTTCAAACTTGAAATACATTTTTTTTTCTCATGTCCATACATCTTGTTGTCGAGATGATCAATTTGAGGATATTTGGGCATCAAAACAACCTTTCCGAGTGAAATTTTTGAGGTGGGCTCTAATTTGATTGTTTAGAGCCTCGGCTCTATTTAAACTTTTTCCTAAAAACAAAGAGCTAATTAGGACCCTAAAAAAATACAAACAATACGAGATGCGACCTTTTTAACCATAAATTATCAAAAAGATCAGTCAGTGAGCTTTTTTTTTCAAGTTTGCCCCTACGGTCCGAGGTTGAAATTCTCATACTGCTTTATTTTTTTCAAAACTTAAGTTGCAGTCCAAGGTTAAAATTCTCGAACCACGTTATTCCAGGCTGAAATTCTCGAACTTTTTCAAAAGTTAAGTTGGGGTTTGAGGTTAAAATTTTCCAATTGTTTTTTTTTTTTATTATCAAAACTTAAGTTGCAGTCCGAGGCTAAAATTCTCGGAACTTTTTTTTTTTTTTTTCCAAAACTTAAGTTGCAATCCGAGATTAAAATTTTCGGATCGCTTCATTTTTTCAAAACTTACGTTACAAACCTTTTTTTGACAAATCTAAAAATTATAAGATAAAGGGAAAATTACAAACAAAAAAAAACCAAAACTAATGTAACTTACCCCAACCTAACTTTTTTTCTCTAAACTATACTTTATATTAAAAACCCGTCAACTAAATAAAAAATAAAAAAAAACCTAAACTACCCTCCCTTACTTTTACTTTACCCACGCCTCTCTCTCCTCAATTCCACCGTTATAGGGGCTCAAGCACCGTATACGTCTGGCAGTAGCGCTTCGGCATGCTGTAAAGTGCGGTCCAACAGTAAGGGTCCGACACTGTGTAAGGTTTGGTTCCGCATTAAGGCTCCGACAATGTATAAAGTGCGGTTTGGCAATTGAAAAGGGCGGTCTAGCAAATGCAAAGGGCAGTCCAGCACTTGTGGGCTCCAACAATGTGATGGTGTCCGGGGCTCCAACAATGTGATGGTGTCCGGTAATGTACTACTAGGTACCGTCAAATTTGTCCAAAATGATTTTTGTATACAAGAAGGCATTTCCATTTAAAAAATAAATTTTTTCCCTTGGGGGTATTTGCATACAAAGTTGTTTTGAGAAAAAAGTGAGAGAAAAAGTTAGCTTGGGGGTAAGTTGCATGAGAAATATGGTCTTGAGGTTTTTTGTAATTTCCCTATGCTAACCTTAGGAGTGCACTCACGGTTTAGATTAAACATAGGTGTATTTAGAGGCTATAAGATAAATTTTTTTATTCTATATTTTTATTTAAAATTATATTTATCTAAAACTTGTGATGTAAATATATTTCTATATATTGTACTAAATAAAAATAAAAAAAATAATTTTGAACAAAAAATTAACTAGAATACCCCTCAAACAAATATTTTAGATGATTTTTGTTTGTTCAGAGTATTTTTCTATTAGTTTTATTGAGGGTGTACGAGGCCAAGGTTCTAAACAATCAAAGTGTGTATATCACCCCCAAGTTTTGGTCTCGTAGCCTCGTGGACCAGGAGCTTTGGGAATTTTAATGATGCGACATTTTAGATTTAGAGACCAAGCTCAAAAACCTGTAAGGATCTCATAAAACTAACATCACAAGGACCAATGGCGACGGTTCAATTTCAAACAGTCAAAACTAAATATTTTAAGAACTTGCAGGGGTGGGAATGGCTCTGGTCGGGATGGGTTAGGTCGGGTTTGCATCGTACCTGACCAGGATCCAACCTGACTGGTAATAAATGGACCTTGGTCCGAACATATTGGGTGGAAGTCAATTGGACCCAAACCTGACCCACCACCGGGTCAAGTCAAATCTGGGTCTATAAATAAAAAACCCAACCCACCACCAGGTCAAGTCAGGCTCATTACCGTCCAAATTTTTTTGAACGGTGATGAGCTTATGAGCAAAAACACTACTCATTTTCGCCCATAGGCATTGCGTAGTCTTTTTCTATTGGGTGCAGTTTCTATAAGGTTGCAACCTTAAACAATCCAATTAGGGTGCACCTTAAAATTTTATCATAACATGTAATTTTCTTGTAAAAAATTCTTAGTATTATCTTAAAATCTATTTTCGTACCTAATTAGAAATTTTTAAAATCCAAATATGGTTAAAATCAAGTAAATCTATAAATATATGAAAATCTTGAGGACGTTCTAGATAATGTGTTGCAAGATGCACTATTTTCGGGACTCAAAAATATTTTTTTTCATATTCATACAACTCGATGTCGAGATGCTTGATTAGAGGGTTTTTTGACATTAAAAAAATATTTCCGATAAATTTTTGAGGTGCATCTATGATTCTATATTTATGGTTGCAACCTTGTTAAAAATTTTTCTTTTTCTATATATATATTACAAATAATTTTCTTATTTTTTGAAAAGAATTTATAATTCTTTTAAAAAAAAAAATTTTAGGTCCCGAGTTGAAACACCTAACTCGGGGATATTCTAGGCTAGCCAAGGGCCAAGGTGGCGGCAAGTCCGAGTTATAAGGTGAGTTGAGTTCGCTCGCCCGAGTAATCAAAATTTGGGGCAAAAAAAGGAAGTTGGCCTTGTATTAAGTTAAGAACAGTTAACAACCTTGAGGCACCTTGCTTTTTGTTGTTCCATAAATGGTGATAAAGACCAGAGGGACCGAGCCGGGTCGGCGTTAAGTCTCCAGATAAAAGTGGCCCACTATGGCACGCCCACCAACCAACGTTACGCCACCACTGACGCACCTCCAGAGAGGGCCGTTACAAGCGCTTAGAGAGAGAAACAACCTGCGTTCAGAGAGAGAAAAACTGCATTTTTAGAGAGAGAGAAAGGACCTCAAGGTGGAGTTAGAGAGAGAACATATATTTGCAGGGAGAGGTATTGTGCCTCTGGAGATTGTTTAGGGCACGTAGAGAGAGAGAGAGGGGGGCAATGGCGACGAGCAAGACAGAGCGGGATTTCACGGACCATTTCGAGGTCTACTTAGCCAAGAGAGATGGAGTCGATAAGCTCCTTAAGATCTCAAGGTACGCCTCAAAAATCGTCATCTCCTCTGCAATTTTACCTGAAAACTCACCTCTGAACCAGAGATTGAAGAGCTTCGAATCGAGCGTTGGGGTAAGCAGAAAAGCTTTCAGGTTGGGCAAATTCATCCAGGATCTGAACGCTCTGAAGAAGGTTGCTTTCGATTCTAGGGCTGGAAAATTAGGGATTGTAGCCTACGGCGGAGAAGGAATCTACTATTTTGTTGAGCAATTCCTCTGGTTATCGAAAGCGGGCCTCATCAGTGGCCACTACTCGAAAAATTTGCAGAAGGTTAGTGCCTGGGCTGAGTTTATTGGCTATATTGGGAGCATTTCCCTGAAAACCCTAGACTTGAAAGCCATCAATGAAGAGGAGTTAGGGTTAAGGGCTGCGCTGGAGGAGCTAAAATTGCAGGGGAAAGAGTTCGATGAAGAAGCCGAGAAGTTGCAGAGATTGGAGGAGAAGAAATTGATGAAGAGGCTGTCTATTGTTCAAGATTTTGCCGATGCTTTAATGGCGCTTGGTGATATTAAAGATGGAAGAGGGTTTTTGGCTAAGCCTGTTTTTGTAGCGTTTGCTGGTCTTTTGTCGGCCATTATTAGCACCCACAAGAACTGGGTTTCTTGCTAAAATTGGGAATTTTTTAGGGTTCTGAATGCTGAACATGGAGATTTTTCTGGTTTTTTTTATCCTTTTTTAGCTGTTTTTATCAGGGTTCTTATATTGACATGAAGAATTTTACAGGTTTATAGTGTAATCTGGGGTCTCAACAAGAGGGGCCTTGGTGTCTTAGATATTTGTTTAAATTAATAATAGCCCCCTTATTTATTTATTTTGTGAAAATTGGGCATATATCTATTTAAATATTTTGTGTTATTGCATTCGAATGTTTGCATTTGTTCTAGGATGATCAAACAGCCCACAAGTTGGATCTTCAAGATCCAAAATTGATCAATTCTAAAGTTAACGATGTGTTTGCATTTTTTCCTGACTATTTTCGGATTTTTCAAATCTAATTTCTTTCTTAATTTTTGGATTTCAAAAATCTAAAAATATTGGGAGAATGACTTTTTTTTTTTTTTTTTTCTAGTAGCATTTCTAGAAAGTAAAAAATTTTGTATTTTGAAAATCCGAAAATGACCTTGCTTTGGAGAAAAACTCTAAACAAATGGGGCAAGTACATTTTCGGATTTTGAATATTGAAAATTCCAATAACTTTCACACTTAAAATCCAAAAAAAGGGCAATTTTAAGGAGAAAAAAAAACTAAGAAATTGGGTGTGAAAGTAGAGTTTGGACTTTAGAGGGGTCTTTTATAATTAGGTAGGAACCTTAAAATGTAGAACTACGGATGTAACTCAAAAATCCATCGAAAAGGGTTGCTTTAATGTTGAAAAACCTTGTGATTGATCATCTCGACATCGAGATGTATGACTATGAAAAATAAAAAGATTTATGCTTTATGGCTGTAAAATACTATTCATTGTCTTCAGAACAAGCAAATTCGAATCAAATATTCAAAAATCAAGAGATTTTGTGGATTGAAATAGTAGAATTTCATGCCTTTTGAAATTTCCACCATCTCAATAGCCAATGGTTTTTGCTAAAATTTGAGGGTTTTTAATCCTAATAGAATTATCTACCATATATATCTTTCAATTTGTTCAAACAACAAAATATTGGGGGGTTGATTTTGGCCCAAAATGATGTTGCTTGAAGAACTTATATTTGATCCAAAAAAACAAATTTTGGATCGATTTTTAAGACGTTTTTTAACAAATTGGTTGGTGTGTTTTGATCATCAAGGCTTCATTATTTATTATAAATTAAATATTTTTATATGAATTCTTTTCTTGCTTGATTTTAGATATCTGAATTTTTCACGATTTTTTTAATTAAATAAAAATACCAAATATTTTTTTTATGACTTTTGGTGCATTTGAAAGGGTGATTTGTTCGATTATCTGAACATTGAAAGTTGTTTATGCTTTAAATGTTGCTCGATTTAAGGAGTTTTTGAGAAATTGATTTTTCAAAAAAGTAATTTATTTTGCTTAATAAAATGATTATTTTTTTTTATGAATATGGGAATTGTTTTTCTATTTTTCTTAATAAAATAATTTTTATTGATAAAATTATTTATTTTGATAAAAATATATTGTTTTGAGTAATGACAAAACCTATATGTATCGGCCTCTTTATCTTGTGACATCTTGTCTTTTACAAATAAAAATCTAGATGGACATGTAAAAGTTGGTAGATCAATTTCTTTTCCATTGTATCTAATTATGATTAGCAGTATTCTTTATCTTGTGACATCTTGTCTTTTACAAATAAAAATCTAGATGGACATGTAAAAGTTGGTAGATCAATTTCTTTTCCATTGTATCTAATTATGATTAGCAGTATTTTAAAGTGTTGTAAAACTTGAAACTGGAGTGCGTAAACATATATGTGTGTTTATATCTAGTAATAAGCATAAACTAATGTAATGTTTCTGCCTACATTTCTGGTAAAGTATTGTAAACTTATTATCGGACTTCATTCTAAGACAAAAAAGATTTATGCGACCTACTTGGGATCATGCACAGGACCATAGTCTTCAAATATTAATTAATACAAAAAGTTCTTTCAAGTATTTTTTTTGTAAGATTAATTTATGTAATAAGATATTATATAGTTAATCTAAATTTTTCTGTTTTTTACTTTTTTTTATTTATTTTGGAGTTTTTGACTTTTTTTTTTTGAAAAAAAAAATATCTACTTGATCGGTTAGTCCAGTTCTTATTCTAATCGCTCCCAACCCCATGTCCGATTAATCGTTCTGGTTTGATTTTGTGAACACTAGTTTTTTTTTATATTTGAATTATAATAAAAGTAACTGATGCTTTCAAGAATATGACTTCTCTTTCTTTCAAGAAGAAAGTATAAAAAAACTCACCAAGAAAAGGTTGTTTCATAAAACTATTCAATTTGATCTTAAAGTGTATGGATATGAAAAAAATAAAAAATAAAATAAAAAAGATTTCAAGTTTCATAAATAGTTAATCATGCAATGCATTATTTGAACCATCTACTTCCAAAAAATTTAAGCGTTTGTATATCAACTCTATCTACACCATTTTTCAAAATTCACACCTCTCGGGCGCTCCCCCTCTCTCACGCCCCATTCTATGTATCACGCCCTGCCCAACCCTTCCCCCCAAATCTATCTTTTCACAATAACTTTTTATGTTTTTTGAGACATTTGAAAATTTCAGAAGAAAAATTTCCTTAAATTGGCTCTCTCTACGAGGGTGTTATTTCTTTGGTGTAGTTTACTCATTCAATGAGATATAAATAAAATAAAGGAATATATTATCTTTATCTAAAATTAAAAGAACAATTTACATATTTATCTGTTATAAATATTCAATAATCTCTTTCCTTGATTTTCTCCCCGTCTCTCTCTATATTTTCTCTGAGCGTACTCTCTCTAGGTCTCCATGGCCTCTCTCTCCCCCTTAATAAGATTAGGGGAAAATTTATTAACGGGATAGGGGAGAGTACTTTATTTAGTGGATTTAATAAATTTCCAAAATGATTTAAAAAGAGAATCTCATGATTTAGAGGATTTTAGCAAATCTATTAAGGGAGCATATAGTATTTTAAAGCCCATGATTTCCGTCATCATATTTATCACAATAGGGATTTACTAAATTTTCTTTCCTATTGATTTAGAAAGTATAAACGTTTAAAGTAATCTTAAATAAATTAATTAGAGCAATGATCCAATGCAACGGTTGTATCATAGTATAATGCAACGATACTTCTAAAACACATGTTTGTGGTATTTGTATGACCCTAAATTTTGCACACACACTATCTTCATCTAAATAATCAATCCCCCCCCCAAAAAAAAAAAAAGAGTTCAATTTGAACCCTAGATATGGTCAAAATGAGTCTCACTTCAAAAACAAATCTAGACCATTCATTTTGTGAATTTTAAGATCTTAGCCTTTATAAACTCAAAATCATTTTTTTTTTCTTTTTTAACATTGTTCATCTAATGATAATAAAGCCATCCAAAAAAAATTGAGAATAAAAAAATCCTTCTAAGGCCTAGATCTAAACATCTCACCAAAATGAACTACCTCTGTTAATTGGGTTAAAAAAATACTTTCTAGGTTGTATTTTCCATTTTTTCTTTTTTTTGTGATTGTTCATTAGAATGAAAAGAGTGTATCTTTCAAAATTTGGATCAAACAAATGGCTAAAAGATGATTTTTTAAGGTTGTTGCATCATATTACTATACAACACTTGTATGAAATCATTGCCCAATTAATTAATATGTATTGTTTCTAGAGAGTAGTTATTTTATTTTAAAATCCTTTATTGTTAGGACATCGACCTTATTTTAAGATACCTTTCTATTCTCCCGATATGTGTCCACCCTTTAACTCTGGTTTAATAATATAATATAAATAAAAATTTAGGAAACATGGAATTATGGGGTGACATTCAAATATTTGAGTTTTAGTTTGCATGCACAATTTGTTCAGTACTAAGTAATCCTTTTGTTACTTGCTCTCTATATACAAAATTTTTTTTCTTTTTTTCTTTTTTGTTACTTGCTCTTTATATACAAAAATTTGATTAATTACTCTATTTTCCTTTTTCCTTTTTTTTGTTACTTGCTCTCTATATACAAAAGTTTGATTAATTACACTATTTTTCTTTTTTCTTTTTTATTTCATTGATGTGTACAACAAAACAATTTAGAATGGCCATTGTTTCACATTTAATGGGTTTTATGTTTTTGTTAATTCGCAATCTTGTACTAAGGATATATTTTTCCTAACAATCCTAAACCTTGAGCTGCAATTTTTTTTTTTTTATTAATATAACTGTTGTGCTTAGTATTGTCATTAATATAACCGTTTTGTTAATTTTGTTTATGTTGATATCCCATTTTGTTAATTCTATTGAAAAATTACTTTTTGTTAATATGAGATTTTGTTCATTTTCTTTGTAGACGTTTATGTTCATTTTTCTTTTAAAAGCAAGTCATTTATGTCAATCAAATAAATCATCTTGATTACGCTTGTTAAGTTTTCTATTCGTAGTCAAGGGTAATTGTTAATTAATATAATATTAAAAATCAAGCGTAACCCCTTCTTCAATGAAATAAAAAATTACGCGGCTTCTTTGTTAAAAAATCAGCTTATTTCTTGGTTAAAAAAACAAAATAGGGCTGCAGCCCTAATAAAATAAGTAAAACCTCACCTTAAAACTCAAAAAATTGCAATTCTGATGTCGAAAACTTCAAATCCATCATCTCAGCCTTGACAATATGGTTGTGAAAAAGTTAAGATCTCAAACCCTATTGTATAGTATAATACATTACCTAAGTTAAGATCTCAAACCCTATTGTATAGTATAATACATCATCTAGACTGTTTATTTTACCCTAAAAATTATTTTACCCTAAAAATAAGTGTTCACATATCTGCAACATATTTCTCGATAATATTTCTACGGTCGAGCACACCCCTCATGCTGTATATATAAAAAAAAGCTCTCGGCGCGGGAAATGTAAAAAATCAGCATGATCAAAAGAGCCGCCCAATCACTTTAAAACCCTCACAGGCACTTAGTAAAGGAGGAAAATATCATGCATAGCAAAAATGCTACAAATAAAAAAAGTTGCAAAAATAAATGAGGTGAGGTGAAGCTTCACCAGAGACACATCCCAGGGGCTTGAGTAAAAACTTGTGAAGGGACATGAGCTCACTAGCCATAGGCATTAGTTTGCACCAGCTGCGAAACAACCTACCTAATTACCTCAACCAT